GCCCCCGAGCCGCCCCGCCGGTCTGCTAGGCGAACCGGCAGCGCACGGCCCCGCTCCTGCGAGCCCGCCCAGGCACCGCCGCTCCCGCCCTCGCCCGGCCCTGAGGGGACGATGCTCGCGCCCCGCCAGCTCTGAGACGCCCGCGCGCGAGGCGTCCCCCGAGCCGCCAAGCGGCGCCTTCGCAGCAGCGCGCGGGCGACGCTCAAAAGGACCCCGCGCGGCGCTTCCGGCGGGGAAAAGGAAGGGGCGGGGCGCTTCCGGGGCGGGGAAGGGCGGGCGGGCGGCTGTGCTGGCGGTAAGCGGGTCCTGTCAGCGGGGCGAGGGGAGGCGGGAGCGGTCCCCGCCGTGCTCTGGGTCACGGCACCGGCCCCAGCGGTGCTAAGGCACCCCCAGCGCTCCGGGTGTCTCGGGGGACCGCGGCGGGTGGGCCGCGCCGCCTCAGCCGGGGGTCGCGGGCAGGGTCCCCCGCAGCGCGGCGAGGAGCGGGACCGCCGGGGCTCTGCCTCCTCCCCCGAGGAAAGGGCCGCCGCGTCTCGGTGCGGCGGGGCCGGCGGAGGACAGCGGCGGGTCGGTGGCCGTGCGGCCCCGGAGGTGAAGCAGGCCCGGCGTACGGGAGCCCTCCGGCGGGGCCTGTCGCACCGTTTGCGGTAGCGGGAGTCGAGACCGGGACGGTTCCTTGAGCCACCGCTCTTCCAGCAGCCTTTTCCAGGTGCGTGAGTCAAGGGAACTGCAACCGGGTTTAGAAATTGAAGGGTGCATTAAAACCTACAGAATGTGCAACACTCGTTCCTGTAAGTTCTTATGACCTCTCTCCTTTGTAGGAAAAATGATTTTTGAGGGCGGCTCCTTCGTGAAGGGTGTGGTGCTGGGAGGAGCCTTCTGCATGTTGGTGACACTGCTTGGGCACATTAAGCTGGGCCATGGGACTAAAGCACTTCACCACGAGCACCATCACATCCAGGCCCCCAACAAAGAAGACGTCTTAAACCTGTCAGAAGGCGAGCGCGTGGAGCTCAGTAAAAGTATCCGTGTTTATTGTATCATTCTTGTGAAACCGAAAGATCTGGGGCACTGGGCCGCGGTGAGAGAGACATGGAGCAAGCACTGCGACAAGGTGGAGTTCTACAGCTCTGAAAACATCAAAGTGTTTGATTCTGTTGCCCTCAACACAAATGATATGTGGGCGATGATGAGAAAAGCTTACAAGATAACGTATGAACGTTATAAAGATGAATTTAACTGGTTCTTCCTTGCATATCCAACAACGTTTGCTATTATTGAAAATCTCAAGTATTTCTTACTGAAAAAGGACCCCTCGCAGCCTTTTTATATAGGCCACACTGTGAAGTCTGGTGACCTTGAGTATGTACATGGGGCAGGAGGAATTGTCCTCAGCATTGAATCACTAAGACGACTCTCCCGTATTCTTGAAGACTCTGACAAGTGCCCGGAGCAGGGAGGTATGATTTGGAAACTTCCTGAGGATAAACAGCTTGCAATGTGTCTGAAGTATACTGGAGTGTTTGCTGAAAACGCGGAAGATTCAGAAGGAAAAGACGTCTTCAACACTAAATCAGTCAGTACTCTCATTAAGGAAGCAATGTCCACTCACCCGCAGCAGGTGGTTGACGGCTGCTGCTCCGACATGGCCATCACCTTCAGTGGACTGGCCCCCAACCACATGCACGTGATGATGTATGGGGTTTACAGGCTGAGACCCTACGGCCACACCTACAACGATGCGCTTGTCTTCCTTCCACCTGCAGGCTCAGACAACGACTGAGGTCTCTTCAGAGGAGACCTGGAACCATGGAGTCGTGACTGGTGTTTGTACTGGCACATTCGATTTTTGTATCTGGTGGTACTGGTGTACAATTTACTTTTTTTTTTTCCACATTGAGGTTTGGTAAAGCTCTTAATTTTAAAAATGGAAGGAGAACTTTTTTTCTAAATCTTTTATACAGAACGCTTCTGGCTTTTGACAGTGCTGTAATGAAATGACAAAAGTTAATGTTTACGATAAAAGGAAACTAAGTTTATATGGGGGGGTTTGTACATGTAAATATTTATTAATGAAAATTCAAATGAACTTTAGTCTACTATATTTTTGCAAGATTTTGATTTTTTTCAATTCTTCCAGGCATTTCTAGAATGTCTTTATATCTTTCTAAGATGTACCAATAAAACTGACTACAGATCCAGTCTCACAGCCTAACTCTCAGCTATCTCCTTTACACCAGACTGCACAACAGCTGGAGCCACGCTGCTCACGCGGCACCTGTCGCTTTCTGTAGAGCCGCCTAACCCAGTAAGGAATGAGCAGGAAGCACACTGAAAAAAAAGATATCTGTTAGGAAGCTGCAGCACAATAGTATTAAGTGACCTTTAGACTGCTGGTTTTAAGCAGACAAAAGAAAGAGATAACTATATTTGAGTTCAGTGTTAACATGGTCAGGTAGCCACTCAGCACAAGAGTAATTGCTTGTTGAAAGTTTCACTTTATATATCAACGTATTAGAACAAAGGTTCTGTATTATTTTCACTCATGTTACTAGTGCTAATAGTATTTACAAGGAAGAAGTTAGCTGTCAATACAAGTGTAGAGTAGATCTATTCACAGGTACTTTTAACACCAAGATGCAAGACCTTTCTTGGAATATTGTGCAAAACACGTTACATACGCAACAAAGCAATGTGCAGAACTCCTCAGTTTTGCTGGGGTTTAGTTAGTTGGGGGTTTTTTTTTGTTGTTCTGGAGTTCAGTTATGGTTTTTTTTCAATGCACTTGAAATCAGTTTTATACAAGTTACCAGTGTGGGAATAAACAGCACTTCAGTATTTACTTCATTTAGAACTCACTGACCTGACCTGGATGTTTCAAGACTTAAGGAAGACACTAACTACACCTATGTGCTACATCTAGGACTATCACAGGCTTTGTTGGTACTAAAATACTCATGTAAGACCTGAGGACTTAGTATGTTATTTCACCTTTCTTTAACAGACCATTTGTAATATCTCATCCTATGCTGAGATGCAAGGGGGCAGGTGGGGAGGTGAAACACCCGCTTCAGAGACGACTAGAATATCCACATCTTTGTTGTTTTAAGCACCAGGTCCTTCATTTTTTACAGGAATGGTAGGACAACTGCTCAGACCCCCAAGCAAACTACCCCAGTCTCACCTTTTGCATATTCTCTTCTTCCCTCTCAGAGCTCAGCTGATGGCAAGACAAACGGGTACATGATTGCTGCCAAAAGCCTTAAGATAAAACTTAAGTTGGTATTTCCAATAACTTTTTGCTAACTTGGTATACAAATTAATTTAAGCATGATTTAACTTGTATCTTCTTACAGAATCGTTTTTAAAAGCTTACATCCACAGTTGGGAATACTCTGATGAAGCCAGATAAAGGAAGTAAAATTCTGATTTCAGCAGTGTTTCTGATATTAAAGACAGTTCTGACCCCACTGCAACAACCAGTCACGGGCCAAGTCAAGGAAAAAGACTGGGAGTTAACAATTCAAACCAGAATAAACCTCATTTATCTCAGATTTGAGAGGTACCGTAACACAACAGGAGGAAACAAGATGGAAGGGGGAAAATGAAGCCACAGAACTCAAGACTAGCTCATTTTATGCAAAAAAGAACCGCTGAAGCACAAACTCATTCCCCATAGCTCTAATAAGAAATTCATACATTTATAGCAGAGTCTTTAAGATGCATAAAAACGTCAGGTTTGACCAAAATTTTTTCTATTATGGCAGTGTTGCAATCACCTTAATTTGTGTCTTCCTACACTAATAAATAGTTTCAGATCTACCCTGTCATTTTCAGAAGTACAATCTTGTAAATAGTTTTACTGGAGAAATTTAAAATCAGCACATAGTAGATAACACATTCCATCTCTCATGTCTTAGACCATAGAATCAGATGGAGAACACCTCTGCTATCTTCTGTAAAGGTCCCAGAGTGGGGAAACCACACATGCAGAACAGCACCGAGACAAAGCGCTTGCATACAAAATTATGTTCTGCCATTATAAAATACAAGTGTTAGAATAGAGACTTGAAATATTAATAAATGCTCCCAGAGACAGAGTTATGAGTGGTAGACCTTAAAGTTTCCTTAGTTTATTAAATGATTCCATGGCACAGGCTATTTTCCATAGGCATAGCTTTGGGTATGCAGTTGCTGAACAGAGTTAGATTATCCAGAGAAATACAGAGTGCTCTTTAACCCGTTCTGTAGATGTACATACATGTGGCAGTGTGCACAAGCTGAGATCTCTTTTGAAGTTCCACCTGAAGAAGTTGCTTCTGGCTACACTGATAACCGTGTTTTGCTATCATGCCTCTGTTTAACAGCGATTTTGTTTCTGCTCCTAAAATAAGAAGGCGAACAGGGAGTAGAGCATCAGGCACCAAGTTGGCACACATTCCGTTTGGAGCGTGCCCACTGTTACTATAAGCTCCACTATAAGGACAGCGATATTAAACAGTGGTGGCAGGTAGAAATTTGAACAGATATATATATATATATTCTTTAGATATGAACTAGCATAAAAGAATTTCTAGTCCGCATACCTGTTTAAATTCATAAATCCTATACAGATAAATGCATATTAAAAAGCAAAAAAATCCTTAAGTAAAATACTGTAGTTAATGCTGTTAATAAATTAAGTTAAAAAATAAATGTCAAAAAAACCTGATTTCTCCACATTCAAGAAACAGGTAGACTAACAAGATGTTAATCAGAAGAAAAAAATCTGAAATGTTTCAGAGGTTTTATAAACCATATTAATTATATTTCACATATGCTTTATACTGCTCTTTTAGAAGAGCATAAAAATGTAAACATTTCTTGGCTTTTTCCTCCTTTTCATTTGAAATAGTCTACTCACAGTCCATGCAGGATCTTTCCGTCAGATATCTTCAGTCACTGAAGATTTGGGTTTGAGACAAAACAAAAGAACTGTAATAAAAAGAAATCTAGAAAACTATTGTAGCCTAACAGTACTTTCGCATTCACTTGGTTTATTTAGCATAGCCACAGAACAAAATAATTTGTACATTCAGTCACATTAAAAACAAGGAATTACAAAGCAGTCCACATTTAAACTAAGTGCATTCCTTTGGAGTAACACAGTTCCTTTTGTTTCACTTGTATGTCTTCATGTGCCAAAGGCCATCATTTAAATAGTGGATATTTTCGATACCAATCCCTTTGTTGACCTTCTCACTGTAGGAGGAGGAAGAGGTACAGAAGTATTAGTTAGGTTAAATATTAGAGCAGTACAAAATACAATATTTAAAATAGAAAATGCAATATTTATTAACTGGAAGGGGAGAAGCTATCATCCACAAAGTCATAATCTTCAACAGTAGGTGGACAGGAAGCAATATTTGTTATTGCATGTACCCACATTGCTGAATGACAAGATGACAATATTTGCCTACCACATTTTGTCACCAACATTCCACGGTATTTTTAACTACTTCTTTGTGGGAGGCAGTTCTTCAGACAACATTTCTGCTTCTTTTCTTAATTTTAGCATTTCTGTATCAAAGTAGCACAGCAGCTGTAAGTGACTCTCCTCCTCCCAGCACAGGAGGTGGTGTAACACAGCTGGAATGTGGAATTTAACAGGTTCTGGTTCCAAATGTGCAACTGACACCATCAAGTGCTGAGCTGCTAGTTGCAAGACATCTACTCACTCAATAAAGAATTACAAATGCAAAATTTAGGTGCCAAGGACTTGCAGCATGTTACAGACGCACTACCCTTCTGCACCTTTTGAGTCTTGCCATCTTTTAAAAATGATTGGTTTGTGCATCTGCATTGGATTTGTGTTCATCTTTTTCCCACTACATTATTCCATGGGGAAAAAAATATCTAGTTTTGTCACAATAAACAAGCAAATCTCATCATTCTATTACAGAGAACAACTTCCATTCCTCTGGAGAATATAGTTTCCTGTATTTATACCAAGTGTTCCATTACTTATACAATTTGTCCAAAAGTAATTGGGAAGGAATATACTGTTATGTAAATTGCATTAACACATTGTGTATCATAATCACATCAAGTGACTGAAATCATACGCTTTCAAAATTTTCTGCTTTAAACAGTATCACACAAAAAAGCATGCTAACAGGCTGCACAGATCAAGGATCATTTCAGCTTCTCTCCAGTTCGTGTTGTTTCTCACAGGAACAGGATATTCAGCTCCAAGGCTGCTGAATTTGAAGTTAGGGTTAGGAATACAGATAATCTTGGTTTGTAGTGATCACAGCAGATCACTGCAGAGTAGGACTAGAACAGAAGTTGCTATTCTTTCCACCTGCTCTTGGAAGTCTTTTGAAGGCACAACAAAGAATCCTGAGGAAAGTAATTCCTCAACAGCTACAGCAGGTACAAATCCAGGTTGCTGCAAGTCCCACTCTATCCCTGTCTTCTGTAGCACATTCCCACCTCTCTCTCCCTTGTGCTACCATTACGACTTGGCACTGCAGAGTGGCCCACTACAAAAGATGATTCTGCTGAGAACCATCCCCACGAGAAAGGTGACTTATTTTCATAAAAATCAGCTCCCTCACCTACACAGGTGCTAGACGTGGCTGGAACCAACACTGCCCAGACCCTCGGTGCATCTTACACCCTGCTGCAAGACGTTGTAGAACTTAAAATGACAAAGTGGTTTAGCTACTTATAATTTAGCAATATCTGAATACTAAAAACAACTAAACTTTCATTTGCATTTTCTGTCTCTTTTCCTTCTCAAATAGTTTTCAGTTGATGTTCATCCCCTGAACAGACCTCTACATTTCACCAGAAGCTCAGCTGAGCTAGTAAGCACATTGGGCAGGAACACTGCATGTGGGTACCAGGGGTAAGGAAAAAGAGGATGTCACAGGAAAAGCCCAGACAGTCAGCCAAGTACCAGCAGGACTTTACTCTCTGCTGTCCCTGCAGACAAAAATCACTTCAACGTTTTCAACCCCCTCAAACCCAAATTACGTCTCTTGCCCTGCCCAGGCAGTAAGCACTCTATACAAGAATTTCTTTGTTCAGCAAGATCTGAGAAAGTATTTTTAGAGAGCAAGAAATATTAACATTCAGCAGTAGTACTAATGTTACGCATCTTAAAATCCCTATTCACATGAAAAGGACTATTTTGATTTGGTAAACAAATAAGTAGGGAAGATA